AAATAGCTATAAAAATCTTGGGAGAAAAAGCTGTTGCTATTTTTTTTTAATAATATGGAAAAGAATACCAAAAGTTTCAGTATTTTTATATAAAATTTTAAAAAAATCTATTGAAAAAAATGTCACTGTACATTAAAAGGAAATAAAAACAATTTTTTACTGTATTATTAGCCTATAACAATTTTTTCTAGGAAAAAAAACTGCGTAGGAAAAATGATAATTTAATAGCTTTATTTATTGCCAGCATAAAATTAAATAATCATTTTGCACAGCTCTTACAATCTATTCTATTTCATGTTTCAAAGCCTTTGCTGAGAAAAAAATAATTCATTGGATGGAAGAACAAAAGATTTCAGAAAAAGAGTGTAAGATAAAATCTATTATTAAATTATAACCAATTATTTTTCGAAGAATTTTATAAAGTTAAAAATACTGAAACATTTTGTTAAAAGAAAAAAAAAATACACCCAAAGCATTGAAACAAACTTGAACAGTAAATGAATTTAGCCCACAGACAAGAAGATAAAAAACAGAAAACCCCTCCTTTTATGAACAGAAGCAAATACACTGTTCTTCCACCTCCCCCACAATTTTTAACTTTCTTTAACTGCTTAATCCCGTCTCCAAAGAGGTCAAAGATTTCTCCATTCATTTAGCAACATGGGAGAGTTTTATATGGCATTCTAGTTTAGCGGGGTAATAGTGGAGAGAATTTTATTGAAGTATTGCAAAGTTGATGATATTTCAGCTGTTCGACGATAAATTTCCATCTGAATAAAGTGGATATAATGAATGGTAAAATAATTTTAATTTAGAACAAAATTCCAGATTTTCTTAAAAATTTCCTGATTTATTCAGGTTTTTTCCAGTATAAAAAAAATCCCTAATAATTCCAAGTCTTCAAGATGGGTGACCAGCCTGCTTTTATAAAATTAATTTTTTAAAAATAGATAAAGTTGCAAACATTAAGCAACAACCAAAATTTATAAATGCAGACAGTTTTACCCATCAATAATCTGAATATTTATCTCTCATCTATTAAGAAAATTTTCAGAAAATTCAGTGAAATTAAATCATTGAACAATTGAAAATCTGCCATAAACAAATTAAAACCAAAAAGACATACATACCATAGAATGAGCTTGATTAGAATTTGCTTGAGATAAACCAAACGGATCAAAACGATCTTCTTCTAAAAACAAGAAATAAATATTAATACATTTATCAAAATAATTAGAATAAAATAATTTTTAACCAGATAAGTAATAGCTCTTGCTCTTTCCATGTTTAAACTTTTAGCTGAGATCAATTTTTGCGCTTGGCAGGGAAATATTTGCATAACTTTGCAAATCGGTTAAAAGGTTGGTTGAACAGCTTGCATTGTTACTACAAAACCTGTTGTTGTAACAAACGTCACTTGCCAATGACGGCAATCCTGCCACGAGAATCCAAGCTATTTTCAGGCAGAAAGAGCATTTCTTGTTTTTTCAGTGGCGCCATCTATGCCCAAGAACAGCCATACACACGTCACAGCCCGTTTAATAGGGAGGACCCATTCACACTCCATTCATTCCTCCACGCATCATAATTTTGACCTTAACCAGAGGAAGATCAATGTCCAATTCAGTACTCCCTGAGGTATTGATTTGTTATAAGAACTTGAAGGACTTTGTGACCCCAACAAATTTAAAGTGTCCTAGTCACAATTTATTACACGGGGATTCTTTGGCCAGCAGGATTCGAACTCACGAACATGAGCTCAGCAACCTACCCACCAGGCTATTCCGGTCCATGCAACAAAAACTAACTTATCTCAATGTTATTTAATGGGTAACAAGTTAGTAGCAGGGAATAGCTTACTCAATTTTGCCTAGAGTTAGAACTTTGAAAGCTTTTCAAAAATGAAAAGCAAAATATAAATAAGTAGATTCAGATCTGTCAAAATGCAACAACTACTTTTCAGGGTTTGTAGAAGCAGTATCAAATCACTTCCAGAGAATGGATCACTCTTTAAAGAAAATAATACTTTGAATGCACATAAGTTGATACAATACAAATATAATGAACATTCACCAGGTATGAAACAGGGACTACTGAATCGAACAAATGAAAAATTGTTCCAAACTATGGCCCCCTTCTCACAGACATAACAGTGGAAATAAATCAGCTAAGTAGAAATTGGTCTCAATTATTCAACACTATTTTCAGGGTCTAGATGGTTGTCTGAGGGTGCCTGCAAGTTTTAATTGCTCTTCCCAGAGCATTTCAGACATATTTCATCGTGTATTAAATTGAGACAAGGACACTTTAAATTTGTTGGGGTCACAAAGTCCTTCAAGTTCTTATAAAAATCAATACCTCAGGGAGTACTGAATTGGACATTGATCTTCCTCTGGTTAAGGTCAAAATTATGATGCGTGGAGGAACGAATGGAGTGTGAATGTGTCCTCCGAGTAAAATGGGCTGTGACGTGTGTATGGCTGCTCTTGAGCATAGATGGCGCCACTGAAAAAACAAGAAATGCACTCTCTACATTGAAATAGCTTGGATTCTCATGGCAAGTGAGTCGAGATCTTAAGTTTTTGCTGGATAATCTATTAAGTCTATATTTTCACTTTTCAGAAAATCGCAATCTATCTGACCTCTTTGATGTTGACTATTCAAAATCAAAACTGGATCTAAATCAAATTTGGGTCAAATGTATACATTAAAAAGCAAACACATAATGGTTGTGAATGGAATGGTAATGAAATAACATAATGGTTGCTTTCTCAGATACTTGAGAAGTTTTGGCAAACCACTGATTCTCTTCATATGAAAGAGTTTCACTTTTGAACAAAGGCGCTACTATCTATTCTCTAATGTTATCAGTGTAATGATTAAGAAATTCACAATTATGGAAGTTTAGTGTTCGTGGTCCGAGTAAGCAGTATGCTAAATAGCTGCAAACCCCCTCTATCTTTTACAAACTAGCACTTTGACTAGGTATAAAAAAGAGCCCTTGATACTCTTTCTTTGCCTTTTCAGAGGTGAGTTTATCCCTATTTTCATTTTAAGGTAACACATGACAACACAGAGCTCATCTGGTAGACAATTTTCTGAAAAAGTGCGGCCTTTGGTCGAGTAGATTTGATAATCAGGTCTCCGGATCTGATCTCTATAAAGCATGCTTGGTACACTCTAGAGAGCAATTTAAGCGTGCGATATCTCTCCAAAAAGAAACCCTCAAGGGACTGAAATCAAATATTGCTAGATGATCATGACCAAGTGCCCCAAGAACTTTAAAACTGCCCAATACTTTACCCCACTGATGGGTTTGACAGATTCCTTTTAACATTTTTTACTGCTTCAAAACATTTTCACTTTTCTTTAAATAACTGTGGCTCTGTCCAATTCCCGTGGCCCTCCTTTCAAAAAACTATTGCATGAAAGGTAAATTTCTTCATATCTAGATAGATGAAATTCAATTTTCCCATATCTGGATAAATGCTTTGGAGCAAAATAAATTCTAGGTTTATTCCATATGCAGGACAATATTAGCCTATTTTTTATTACATTTTTTTATCATCTATTTCATCCTTTGAACTCACAGGAGAGATACACTTGATCATGCAAAAGGCATTATATTTATTGAAAGGTCATTAAATTTGTATTACATTAATTATGTTGATAGTAAATTCCCTAAAGACTATACCGTAGTTCTGGATATAATCTATTACATCTAAAATTTCTTCTTAATTTTTAAAACCAGTATATAACGGAACTTTTTGCTCTAATATTATAAGAATCATAAGTTTTAAGCAAAAGAAATATGTGAAATAGAATGTATAGAATGTAATGTATATGTAAACTGAATTAAAACTAATAAGAAATGTATTTTTTAACCAATTTACAAAAAGGAATTCAAAAACCTTAAAGTGTAAATTTTGATTTAATTCTTACAATAAAAAAACTTTGACAATAAAAAAAATTAAAAAAAAAAAATTCAAGAATAATATCTGAAGCTATGCATTTGCAGAGTCAAATAGCTATTTTTCCATAATTTACCCCCCTAAGAAACATTCATAGTATTTAATAATTTGTAAATTCTGATCGAACTGCACATTTGATCAATAGTATTAAAAGTTTCGAATATATGCAATATTATCAAAATAAAACATTTAATTCGCTTTCTATAAGTTCTCTTGTTTTTGAAAAACGATAAGGATAAAA